CCAACACCTTCGTCGTCGAGCACTTGGTCATCCACGGCGGTGGAGACGCTGCGGAACAGGTGTCACGCACTCCGGGAGGAGCGCCGAGCACTCCGGCGGTAGAGTCGAGCACTTCTGGGGCAGTGCCGAGCACTTTAGGAGGGATGCCGAGCACTCTGGGAAGAGTGTCGAGCACTTCTGGAAGGATGTCGAGCACGCCAGGAGTGGAGCCAGGAGGTTCTGCAGTGGTGGCGACCACTTCAGGACGGGTGCCGAGCACTCCCGTGGCGGAGCAAAGACGTCTTACTATGGTTCCGACCACTCCAAGACTAAGGCTGGGCACTCCTACAGTGTGGCCGAACACTACAGGAGTTATGACGAGCGATCCCGAAGCGATCTGCGAGCACTTCAAAATCGCAGGCACTCCGGCGGTAAGAAGGAACTCCATCACCCCGATCAAGTTCACCTCACCTCCAAGTGACATCACCGAGTTCGTGGGCGCCTACCACGAAGGTGAGGAGTTGAGGTTCCGCGATCTGGGCGACATCGTAAATCGGCACAGTCCCTCGTGTCCGCGGTGTAGGCTGCTCAACGACGCAGAGCCGCTACTCGTCGGTCTGCAGAGGAACCACCCACGTTCGCGCTTAGTCGAAGCGAGATGGAAATCGGCGACGGGCGATCTGGAGGAGATGAAGGCGATCGAGAAAATGAGACTTGGCGGCTCGTCGATCCACCTCCGTGATGCCGCCCAATCACCGAAGTGGGTGTACAAAGTCAAAAGGACGAGCTCGGCGCCATTGTCAAGTACAAGGCGCGCCTCATCGCCGAGAGCTTTGTCCAGTAGCGAGGGCATCGACTTCGAGGAGGTCTTTGCACCAAGAGCGCCGCGATGGAGTCGGTCCGTTTGCTACTTGCTTTGGTGGTAGCAAAGGACTGGCACGTCCATCACTTGGACGTTAAATCGGCCTTCCTCAATGGCGAAATCGGCGTAAACGGTCTTCGCCAGGCAACCTCCAGGGTTTGCTATCAAGGGAGAGGAGCACAGGGTGCTTCGACTGCGCAAAGCGCTCTACGGGCTGAGGCAAGCCCCTCAAGCATGGAACGCCAAGCTTGACACCACGCTGGGCGAGCTTGGGTTTCAGAGGTGCACAACCGAGCACGCGCTCTACACGCGACGACGGGGAAGGAAGAACTAGTGGTCGGCGTATGTATGTAGATGACTTAATCGTCACCGCCGCTGCAGCGCGGAGGATATCAACAGCTTTCAGCGAGAGATGGCAGCTCGTTTTGAATGAGCGATCTCGGTGCTCTCTCCTACTACCTCGGCATCGAGGTGAGACAGGGAAGGAGGAACTCACGCTCCGGCAAAGCGCGTATGCCTCCAAGCTGTTGGAGAGGAGCGGCATGGTGGAGTGTAAGCCATGCGTGACTCCGATGGAGGAGCGGCTGAAGCTGACGAAGGACAGCACCGCGATGAAAGTAGATGCAACACTCTACCGGAGCATCGTCGGTGGTCTCGCGCGCTACCTAGTCCACACAAGGCTCGGACATTGCGTTACGCCGTGGGCTACGTCGGCCGCTTCATGGAGGATCCCAGAGGATCACTGGGCGCGTGAAGCCGCTACTACGCTATGTTAAGGGGACGGTGAATCATGGAATCATCTTCCCAAAGACCGTGGAAGTAGGTCGCAGCTCACGGTGTTCAATGATGCGAGACATGGCGGGGACATCGACGGACGACGGAGCACCTCTGGCGTTTCGCCTTCCTCGGGTCAGCCCCAATTTCATGGTCGTCATTGAAGCGAAGGTGGTGGCGCTATCTACGTGCGGGCGTAGTACGTGCGCGGCCTGGCCGCTGTGCCAAGTTGTTGTGTGGCTCGCCGCACCGCCGGGTGAGCTAACCGGCGTGGAAGCTCACCCACCAAAGATCGATGGTGGACAACCAGCCCGCCATCGCCTCGCGAAGAATCTGGTTACTGCACGACCGAGTAAACACATCGACGTGAAGTTCCACTTCCTCGTGGACCGTGTTGATGGAGGGCGATCGTCATCGAGTTCGTCGAACCGCTTTCGGTAGCTCGCGGACGTCCTCACCAAGCCGCTTTGGACGACTTCGACTCACGGAGTGAAGGAGATGATCGGCATGGAGGGGGTACAAGGTTAGCGAGGATTAGGGAAGATTGTTAGCTAATCTATCGCCACCTTGTGTGAACACAAGAGATGAAGGCGGCGCCGACTTAGCTTTCTCATTGTGTGTGAACATAGCAAGGGAAGGCGGCGCCCGACTTTGCTCCCTCGCGTGATCAAGAGGTCGCCAGAGGTGCAAAGCGCCGTATGGCTCACTGCGCAGATCAGGAACAGAGCGATGGCTTGCGGCAGTCAGCCTGTCCGGTTTCTAGTTATCGTGCAAAGATGGGCGCCGCACATGGACTAGATAGTTAGAGTTGTATAAATAGACATGTATGGCAACTCAAGAAGAGAGAGCTCAGATTTGCCATCACACGACAGGGCATCGCCAACGTTGTTGTCTTGTATTGTGCGTGCTTGCTCTGCTTCTCCTTCTTCTTCTAGCTCGATCCGTAGTGTGTGGGTACGGACACAACCGTATATAGTGGTCTCGGAGACTAGTGGTGCAGTCTCGAGACTAGCGGTCCAGTCTCGGAGACTAGTGGTCTGGAGACTAGTGGTCTGGTCTGGGAGACTAGTGGTCGGAGACTAGTTCACTATCGTCAGACGGTGATCCCGTGGGCCAACAGTCTAGCATCTGCTGGGAGTATGAGGAGCGTGTCATCTGCATATTGGATGATGGGGTAGTCTCCAAAAAAGTTTTCACCCAGAGGGTGTGTTTGAGTAATCCTTTCTTGGAAGCACCATAGCTACTATTGGTTCGCTGGAGATCAGCAACAAGGACAAACATTAAATCTCTATGAATACTGTTGATACATGAATCCCACAAAACAAATGCACAGGTCTCTTCTGGTTGATACATGAATCCCACTAAGGAGAAGGCGGATGAATTAAAAAAGTTAAAAGACAACCTGGAGGAAGGCCCATGTGGGTTTCTTCTGATTGTGTGTCTCTGTGTTTTGTGTGTATGTTTTGTAAAAAGTTTTCTTAATCTCTTCTACTGGGTACTTTCTAAGCTAGGGGAGATTTTCAGAGATAGTGGAGGGTAGTTCATTCTTTACTTGTTTGGTGCCATCATGCACAAAAAGCTGAGATGTAAACCGGTATCTTCAGAAACACCTTTGATGCTTTCAATATAAGCAGTGGCATATGCCTTTGGCCATAAAATATCATAGAGAGTGTATGTCAATAATGCACACACGTCAAGTAGTAAAACAAACCTTATAACTAGAGTAGTTGACAATCAGTAGTCCGAAGCACTTAATCTGATCACACTTCTACTGAACTTACTACAACGATAGGTCATCGAGAATATGTTCGTGTCATCGTGTGCGGCAATGTTCATACTTATCAATGTCTGCCTTTAACCCAAGAGCCATCATAACTAATATTCCTTTCAGGATATGATCGTATTATTCTTCCACTATGCCACTTGTACTCCAGATATTGACACTACGCTCTTTTGAATTGCGTTTGGCCAATGGCCACTGCAACTGTTGTGTCGGATACTGAGATAGGTAGTTCTTTTTCTAAACACAGACACATATACATACTCCCCTATACACACACGCTCAGCTTTATGAACACAGGCAATGACACAGGCAGACGACCTTAAGTACGTGACCTAACCTTTGAAAGAACAGATTTCTAAAATAAAACTAGGAAAGTGCAAGCACCTGTGTGCCAACTCAAACGCTGAGCCAAGGAAAGTTCACTAAAGCGCTAAATATATATTTAGGTAATTATAAAAAAATACTTCTGCCACACATTCACAGTCACGTAAACTAGAGCTTAAAGTGATCACAAAAGTTATTCTTTGCATTAAGCTTCTTGCCAATTGAGCAGTCATTCTATTCAAAATTCTCAACGAATGTGTTTACCATAAGGCAATTAGTAAGCACATCAGGCAACTTTATTTTAGCAAAGAAATGCACTGTGGTTATATTTACTCCATAGCTCAACACTCTATGACATACTCCATTCTTTTGAAATTGAAATCGTTTTAGCTTTTCTACGTGCAAAGGTTTTACTATGTATCTAGATCTAGATATAATTGATATCTAGGCATGTAAAAGCCTACGTGACATAATTACAATTTGAAAGTGAGGGAGTACTATATACTGCTGCTGTTGCTTAATTCCCTGCCGCTTCCATTGTTGTACTTCATTATTTGCAGTGACAAACAAAAAGTCCGGTGTATCACAAAGAATAATTCCAACACAACTACTCCCTCCGTTCCAAATTATAAGTCGCTTTGACTCTTTTAATTTGGTACGTCCATTTTGCTATGTATTTTGATATAATAATATGTCTAGATACATAGCAAAATATATGAAAAAAAAATCAAAGCGACTTATATTTGGAACGGAGGAGTGCTTTTCTTAATGGACAAATAAGTCCACGCACATGCACAGACTCTTAATATGTACACTGAAAAGGAAACAGATAAAAACATTATTGAGCTGAGCTGTACAGCATCTATACTCTTCAAGCGAACTACTCTCATTGGTTCAACCAAACCGAACACGCGTTTTCATAGACCACCACACATATATTTCAAATTACAAGCTACAACAGTGAACGAACGTGATATCTATAAAGCCCCAGTGTACGTACCATCAAGAATACACGCACACTCATATCACAAATCTCTCTCTCTCACCAAACCCATCCACAAACTGACACAACACAGGAAGATACAGTTGCATCTGTTAGGCAACAGCCCACAGCTGGGAGGTAGCTAGTATGGCGCCATCAGGAACAACTCCTCCCTCTTCGAGTCCTCCACCATCATCACGGCGAACATGATCATGGCCTCCTCGTCGTACCTCCTATCGAGGATCGCACCCCGCCGTGCAACCGCATCACCGACGACTAAGATGGTAGCGACCACCATGGCTCCGACATGGCCCTCGGCAACATCCACTACCCGCTCTGTGGAGCCCATGGCCGGGTGCAAGACGGTCCTCATGAAGCCCGTCGACGGGCAGGATGGCAAAGTAGACCAACAAGCGGAAATGTTCATCAGGAGTTTCCGAGAGAGGACACTGTCGGAGACAGCTCGCTTAGAAGCAGCTACTGCAGGAGCTCGCCCGCCGCCAGAGACGCCGGTGACTAGCACCGCATATGGGCAGGAACTGCGCGCAGATGCCCACGTTAGAGGTGCAGGATATCCCAAGATGTAAGCAAGATGTATGTCAGTAAACGAGGAAGGTGATGCAGTAGCATCAGAGGTTACAAGAGCTCGTTTCCATTAGCAAGTTAATTAACAATGAAATTGTTAACAGCCGCGTTTTGAGCCATGTGGGCTGTTTCTTGCAAAACTGGCTAGTCCGAACCAGGTTCACGAAATCGTGTAGGTTTTGAGTCGTAAACGATTACGGTTTATTTCTAACAGAATAAGATCATCCCACCTGTATAAATATAAAGGGTCACCACAAATTACAGGTATCCAATTGATCAAAATGAATTAACACCTACCTTTTAATATAGGGAGATGCTAGCGTCCGGACGTCCAGTGCCAACGGTGCATCCAGACGCCCACGCCTGCTGCCTGGAAATTATCACGCCCGCTGCCATCAGGCAGTGACAGGCCCACGCTTGGCCACACAATCCTGCTGCCCACATGCTGCGCTGTTGGCGTGTGATGCTGTGCTAACTGGCCGTATCCAACTGGAATAAAGAGAGAGAGAGAGCAGCCAAGCATGCATGCAGCTTCATGCTCCATGCCAAGTTTCGTGCTTCGTGCCTAGCTTTGTGCTCCACGCTCAGCTTTGTGCACGCGGGGACCGCTGCGACCAAGGGGACCACCTCTGCCTGCGCTCACTAGCCGTGCCTGCAGATGAAACACTTGCAACGTAAAAAGCATTTGCTGCAACATACGTCCGAAATTGATGAAACATTTACAACATACGCTTGCAACATATGTGTATGGGCACTGCAACATATGCAACATCCAGATAAAACACTTACAACATACGTGTATAGCTAGTGCAACATATGCAATATCCAGATAAAACACTTGCAACATATGTTTAAAACAGCCGAAACATTTAAAACATACACTTGCAACATATGTATATAGTCATTGCAATATGTGCAACATCTCGATCTACTTTTGCAACATCCATATAAAACACTTGAAACATACATCTAAAACATTTGAATTGTACACTTGCAACATGCATTATATCTCGGTGCGGCCCTGACGTTGGCCCTGACGTTGCGCGAAATCCCAACAAATTGTAGCTCCCCGGTGGGGTCGTAGACGCCGTAGACTCTGGGCTTTGGGGGTAGGGTGTCCTCGTCAACCAGGGGCTGCGTGGGCTCCTGAGGGATGGACACGATGGATGCCTCTGAGAGCTTCTTGAAGGCAGCGATGGTGAGGGGCGGGGAGGTGCGGCAGCGGTGGAGAGGGAAGCGAAGGGTATCGGAGGACAAGGAGGAGGAGGACAACAAGGAGGACGGCGCGGAGAGGAGAGGGAAAGCGAAGCAGAGAGAAGCAGCGGTGGTGACGTTGGAAGCCATAGCCATGGGGATGGTGCGGCGGTGCCGCAGTGAGGCATCTGCTTTACGGCGGCGGCGAGCGGTAGGAGCAGTGAGGCAAGTGTGCGGAGCAGCGGCAGGAGCAGCAGGGCGAGCGCACAGAGCAGTGACAGGAGCAGTGGCGTGGGCGGCGGTGTGGGAGATGGACAGTTGATGAATTGACAAGATATTAAAGTTGTGTTAGTTGGGGAGTAGGCGAGAATCAAAATTGACATGGCCCCATGCCCCACGTCCATCTGATATCCAGTAAAGAGTCGGGACGCTCATATCAAAGCATTACTGTTTAATATATCATAGCTTTTTCATACCCATATCTTAGAGTTCTACAAGTGAGTTTGTGGTTGCTCTAAGTAGTCTACCTACACAAGAGCAACTCTCGATGCACCTCCTTGACGAGATCCTTCACGAGAGGTATTTGTAGCTTTTTGCAGCAAGCTAGCCAAAACCAGCTCTGGCGAAGTGATCCGTTCTGTGCGATCCTAGCACACCACCAGCTCTTTTAGTATAGGACGACTACTGCATCAACACACTTTTTAGCAACTCTACGAAGACTAATAAATCGAAGAGTTCACCTCCTGGGTTTGAGAACAAGGACACCATTTATCCTTTCAACCTGAAGAACATCATCAAGCCCTCTTACGAGCAGCTTCCTGTGAACGGCATGAAGAAACGAAGGTTGCTTGTGGTACTGTACTGTTGTGTGCTGTCACCTGTTCTTTAGCAATTTTGTACAATTATATTAGTTGAATTCCATTCACGAAACGTTTTTATTAGTTTGTATGTTAGCTTATTTCTCCAAGACAATTAGCCATCTTGCAATTTCAATATCAATACAAATAGGCAAATCAAGTTCTAGAGAAGGAACATAGATATGCTTCAAATCGATCAAATAATTAGATTTGTAGACTTGCTAAAGACATTCGTATCTTCCTCTGTTACCACCTATCAACGCAGTCTTTAGGGTAAATATGGTATTTCTGCTGGAGAAAGTTCCGGTATGAAACAAGCCCATTTTGGTAAAAAATTGAGGGAGGCCCCTCCGCAATTAGCCTGCTTGCATATACCACAGCAATACCAGCGATCCAAGGGTGGGTTGCTGACATCCAAATAGACAAGCATTGCAGACACGAGCCAGAAGTGTTGCCAGCATGTGACGCATGGAGAATCTTCCCTGCAAAATCTCTTGGAGCTTGTTGAGGCATCGGCTATTGATCCACTCCTTCCTGTCAATGGCACAGAGCAACCAGGCTAATTCGATGTTGTGAATGGTCCAAGAACACTAATAATACCAGTGAGTAGTCTGAATATTCATGTATGTTCCATCCTAGCGACATTAGCATGATAGCCAGCCCTGATGTATGTTCGTCGAGCTACGGTTCTTTAATTTGGGATGATGATGGCTATAATGTTTGCACATGTTACATACGGTGCAAGTGCAACGCAATTGCCAAAGTGTACCTGTTTGAATTAGTAGAAGGTCCCCAGCACGCCCCTGTACTCTGTGCCTGCACTCGTTGTAGTACGCGGTGACCGCGCACACGGAGAACACTCGCGTGAGGCTGGAGACGAGCAGGTTGACCAAGTCCAGAGACTCCCTCTACATGGTTGTGCGCCGTGGCGAGATGGCGGCGGCGAGCACGGCATTGGCGATCAAGAGGATCACGGCCTGGTGAGCGTTCTTCGCTGTGGCTACCCACGCCCGCCGGAGCGCGGCCGCGCGATGGCACCCAGGCTCGGACGAAGACACGACCACTGCCACGGATAGGACGACACCCAGGTAGAGCTGGGCGTGGCCTGCGACCAGGAGGACGAGGGCTAGCAGGTCAAGGAGCAGCAGTGCGCGGGTGTACCTGACGAGAAGGTCAACCAGGAATAACAGCGCGGCGACGCCGAGCTGGCATGCGACAGCAATGATTTGGCCGTGGACGGCGGTCGCGACGGGACCGACCGTTAGGCCGCCGCTGCCGTCGAGCAGCATATGGAGGACCTGGAGGAACGCGAGCGTTTGTCCCTCGTTGTCGACGCCGTACGCCGTGACAGCAGCAAAGGTGGTGATAGCCCCGATGACTGGGCCGACGGTCACGGAGGTGAGGAGGTTCACTGCGCCGACGAGGATAACATCCTGTGTCTCATGCAAGCGCAGCATGGCCAGGGAGACGTGCAAGACTTTCTCGGCGACTATGAGCGCCAAGATTCGACCAAACAGGCCAGGGTTGCGCGCTGGAAGGAGCAGACCTTTCTTCAGGAAGCTGAAGTGCCACATTGGGAGAAGTGGTCGCGTGGCAGCCATGGCCGGCAACAAGGGGCTGGCTTCAAGGATCTTAATTTACAAGGGCGACAGAAATAATAAGTTCATATTCGTCATTTCCTGCCCAATGGCTGATGACGATAACACTCAAGTTCCCAAGATTCTTCACCTTGTCAACGGAACGGAGAAACCAAGGTTGCTTGTCGTACGTCACAGAGTGTTCCTTGGCAACTTTGCTCCCATTCCTGCAACTTTTCTAGTTTGTCTGTTCGATGTGTTCAAGACAGCTAGGCCTATATTATAGACTTATAGTCCATGCTTCCACTAAACTTTTCATTTCCGATCCATTTCCACTAAACTTTTCACTCCACTTGAATGCCAGCAGCCGCCCCTTAAAAAAAGTCCCGTTGCTACAAACTGTTTTTCATGTAGTGATGGGGAATCGCTCTGCTATCGTCATGGAAGGCTTGCTTCTCCAAGCCCGCAACATCCACATTTTCATCCCCATCTTCCTCGTCGCCGTCGCCTACAATACTATCAGTACCCTCGGCTACTCCACTGTGGTGAAACCGCTCCTCATCAAGTTCTTCCACGACGCTGAAGACCTCTGGGGGGCCAACCCAGTGTGGACCGGCTACGCCGACCTCGCGGTCGAGACACGTATCCGCGCCGGCCACCTTGTCACTGCCGGCACTGCCTACCTCCTCATCACCACCTTTACTATTGGCCCAGCCGTTCTGGCGTTCGCCGTGTTCGCCGCCGTCGCGGTGTGTTCCGGCGAGCGGAGCCGGAGATCGTCGTCGTCCCACGCGCTTGCACTCATGCTGCTGGCCGGCGGCGACGGCCTGAAGGGCCCCTTCGGTACCGCGCTGCTCGGCCACGTCCTCCATGCCGTTGCGTACAGGGGAACCATCTTGGTTTTGGGGTTCTACATTGCCTTCTTCCTCAGATACACGAGCCCTGTGTTGTTGTCCATGGAGTTGCTCGTCTTCCTCCTGGGCCATCTCTTCGCCCTCTATATGGAGGTCGTCTGCACCTTGGCAGTCGTGGTGTCAGCGGCAGAGCCAGCCAGCTGCTTCTACGGTGCGCGCGCGCTCCGGCAGGCGTGGCGGATCTCGGCAGAGAAGACCACGCCGGCTGTGATCCTCTTGTTCGTCAAGGCCGCGGTCACCGCCGTTACGGAGGGAATGTCGATCAGGGTATACATATACCCGATCCATTACTACTATAACCTGACCATGGCGTATGCTATTCTTCCAGGGTTCGTCAGCATTAGCTTGTATGCAGCTTTGCAGCTGTGGTTTGTGTGTGCAACCACCATATACTACTACCAGTGCAGGCAGCGCAAGGATGGTTATTATAGTATTTGAAGTCAAAACACTAGCATATCCA